TATGAATAAAGCTGCTACATATATCCATGTGTAGGTTTTTGTGTAGATAAAAATTTTCATGCTCTTTGGGTAAATATAGCAGGAACGATTGCTGAGTTGAATGGTAAGAAACTACCCAACTGTCTTCTAAAGTAGTTATACCATTTTGCTTTCCCACCAACAATGAATGGGAGTTCCTGTTTCTCCACATTCTTGTCAACATTTGGTGGTGTCAGTGCTTTGGTGCCATTCTAATAGGTATGTAGTGGTATCTCATTGTTTCATTATGTGTATCTATTCATTAGTAAAGTGCAATTTTGCTGCTGATATGTTGAACTGTGGTGAAGTCGGGGCCTTCAGTACATCCTGTATCACTAGAGCAAGGCACATTGTACCCAACAAGCAACCTCTCATTACCCCTTAACCTTCTATCCTTCTGAGTCTTCATTGCCCATTATCCCAGACTCCACATTCTGCTTTGTGTGTACATATTACTTACTTCCCTCTTATAAGTGAGAACGTGAGAAACATGTCTTTTTGTGTCTGAGTTGTTTCATGTTAGCAGATGGCCTCCAATTCTATCCATGTTTCTGGAAAAGATATAATTTCATTCTTTTCATGGTTGAACAGCATTCCATTGTGTGTATATACCACATTTTCTTTATCCAGTCCTCCACTGCTTTGTGTGTACACATTACTTCCCTCTTATAAGGGAGAACATGAGAAACATGTCTTTTTGTGTCTGAGTTGTTTCATGTTAGCAGATGGCCTCCAATTCTATCTGGATGAACACTTAGATTGATTCCATATGCTGTGATAAACATATGAGTGCAGGTATCTCTTTGATATAATGGTTTCTTACTCTTTGGGTAGATACGCAGCTGAGTAGGACTGCTGGATTGCATGGTGGTTCTATTTTTAGTTCCTTGAGAAATCTTCATACAGTTTTCCATAGAGGTTGTACGAATTTACATTCCCACCAACATTGTGTAAGAGTTCCCTTTTCTCCAAATCCTCTCCAACATCTGTTATTTTTTTTTGTCTTTTTACTAATTGTCATTCTGATTGGTATAAGATGATATTTCATTGTAGTTTTAATTTGCATTTCTTTGGTGACTAGTAATATGGAACATTTTTTCATATGAATGTTGGCTATTTGTTTATCTTGTTTTGAAAAGTGTCTCTTCATATCCTTAGCCCACTTTTTAATGGAATTATTTTTTGTTGTTGAGTTGTTTGCATTCCTTGTAAATTATGGATATTAGTCCCCTCTTGGGTATATTGTTTGCAAATATTCTGTCCCATTCCACAGATTGTTTATCACTCTGTTGATTATTTCTTTTGCTATGCAGAAGCTTTATACTTTAAATTTGTCTATTTTTGTTTTTGTTGCTTGTGCTTTCAAGGTCTTCCTCATGAATTCTTGACTAGACCACTGTCTACCAGAATTTTCCCTATTTTTTTCTAGCATTTTTATAGTGTCATTTCCTTACATTCAAGTCTTTAATCTATCTTGAGTTGATTTTTGTATTTGGTGAGTGATAGGGGTCCAGTTTCATTCTTCTGCATATGGCAATTCAATTTTCCCAGCACAATTTATTGAAAAGGATGTTCTTTCTCCAGTGTATGTTCTGGTCAGTTTTGTCAAAGATCAGTTGGCTGTTAAGTGTGTGGTTTTATTTCTAGCTTCTCTATTTTGTTCTATTAAACTCTGTTGATTTTTATATCAGTATCATAGTGTTTTGGTAACTAAAGACTTGTAGTATACTTTGAAGTAAGGCAATGTGATGCCTTCAGCTTTGTTTATTTCCCCCCCACTTAGGATTGCTTTGGCTCTTTGGGCTCCTTTTTGGCTTCATATGAGTTCATTTTTTCTAACTCTGAATTCTGAATTATTTCTTCTAATTCTGTGAAAATTGACATTGGTATTTTTTTTAAACCTCCTCTGTGGACATGACATTGGTATTTTGATAGGGATTGCATTTAACTTGTAGATAACTTTGGGCTCTTTGATCATCTTATGAATATTAATTCAGCTGGGCACAGTGGCTCATGCCTGTAATCCCAGCACTTTGGGAGGCTGAGGTCAGGAGTTCGAGATCAGCCTTGCCAACATGGTGAAATTTCATCTCTATTAAAAATACAGCCAGGTGTGTTGGGACATGCCTGTAGTCTTAGTTACTCAGGAGACTGAGGTGGGAGAATTGCTTAGACCTGGGTGGTGGAGGTTGCAGTAAGCCAAGATTGCACCACTGCACTTCAGCCTGGGCAACAGAATGAAACTCCATCTCAAAAAAAAAAAAAAAAGAAAAAAGAAATTATTTCTTCTAATCCATAAGCATGGGATGTTTTTCTATTAGTTTGTGTCCTTCATAAATTCTTCCACCAGTATTTTGTAATTCTCCCTAAAATGATTTTTTACATCTTTGATTCAATATATCCTGAGATATTTTATTAATTTTTTTGGTACCTCTTATAAGTGAGATTGCCTTCTTAATTTGGTTTATGGCTAGAGCATTATGATAATGCTACTGTATATCAATTTTGTATCCTGAAAATTTACTGAGTTTGTTTGTCAAATCCAAAAGTGTTTTGGTGGAGTCTTTAGAGTTTTTTAGATATAGCATTATATAATCAATCAGTGAACAAGAATAATTTGACTTTCTCTTTTTCAGTTTAGATAGTTTTTATTATTTCTCTTGACTGATTGCTCTGGTAAGGACTTGCAGTACTATGTTAAATAGGAGTGGTGAAAGTGGGCATCCTTGTCTTATTCCAATTCTTAGAGAGAATGATTTCAATTTCCCCATTAAGTGTGATATTTGTTGTAGGTTTGTCATATATGGGCTTTATTATGTTGAAGTATGTTCCTTTATGCCTAGTTGGTTGAAGATTTTTATAATGAACAGAGGCTGAATTTTATCAAATGCTTTTGTTGCATCTATTGAGATGATTATGTTTTTTGTCCTTAATTATGTTTATGTGATGTATCACATTTATTGATTTGTGTATGTTAAACCATCCTTGCATTTTCTCTCTCTCTCTCTCTCTCTTTTTTTTTTTTGAGGCATGGTATTGCTTTGTTATCCAGGATGGAGTGCAGTGATACAATCATAACTGACTTTAAGCTCAAACTTTTGGACTCAAGCAATCTTTCTGCTTCAGCCTCCTGAGTAGCTGGGACTACAGGTGTGCACTGCCATACCCAGCTAATTTTTAAATTTTTAGTAAAGACAAGATTTCAGCATGTTGCCCAGGCTGGTCTCAAACTCCTGGCCCCACGCACTTCTCCTGCTCTAGCCTCCCAAAGTGCTGAGATTACATCTATAAGCTGTAATGCCTGGTTAGTATTATCTTTGTAATGTGCTATTGAATTTGATTTGCAAGTATTTTGTTGAGAATTTTTCCATCTATGTTCATCAGAAATATTGATCTGTAGTTTTCTGGTTTTTTTTTTTTTTTTTTTTTTTTGCTGCATCCTTGTCTGGTTTTAGTATGAGGGTAACATTGATCTCATATCATGAATTAGGGATAATTCCTTCCTCCTCATTTTTTAAAAATAGTTTCAGGAGGATTGGAATTAATTATTCTTTGTATAGTTGGTAGAATTCGAATGTGAATCCACCTGGTCCTGGGCTTTATTGTGTGGGGAGAGTTTTTAAATTATTGAGTAAATTTTGCTATTTATTATTGGCCTGTTTGGGAGTTTTATTTCTTCCTGAATCAATCTTAGAAGGTAGTATGTTTCCATGAATTTATCCATTTCCTCTAGGTTTCCTAGTGGGTTAACATATAGTTGTTCATAATAGTCTCCAATGATCTTTTGTATTTCTGTGGTATCAGTTGTAATGCCCCTTTTATATTTTTGGTTGTGTTTATTTGGAGCCTCTCTCTTTTTAATCTAGGTAATGTTATCTTTTTGAACAATCAAGTTTTTATTTCATTGATCTTTCTTTGGGTCTCATTTTATTTCGTTTTGCATTGATCTTTGTCATTTGTTTTCTTCAGCTAACTTTGGTTTTGGTTTGTTCTTGTTTTTCTAGTTCTGCAAGGTGTGCCTTTAGGTTGTTAATTTGTGATCTTCCTACTTTTTTGGTGTAATTTAATACTGTAAACTTTACTCTTAGCATTGCTTTTGTTGTGTCCCATGGGTTTTGGTTTGTTGGCTTTTCATTTTCATTAGTTTCAATTTTTTTTAAAAAAATTCTATTTAAATTTATTTGTTGACCCAGTAATCATTCAGGAGCATGCTCTTTAATTTTCATGTATTTGTATAGTTTCTGAAGTTCCTCTTGGTATTGATTTCTAAGTTTATTCCACCATGATCTGAGAAGATACTTGCTATGATTTTTATTTTTAAAAAATTGTTAAGACTTGCTTTGTGGCCTAAATAAGGTCTATCTTGAAGAATATTCTATGTGCTGATGAAAAGAATGAACATTTTACAGTTGTTGGGTAGCATGTAATATAAAAAAACTGGTAAGTCCATTTTGTCTAAAGTTCAATTTAAGTTCAATGTTTCTTTGTTAATTTTATGTCTCAGTTACCTGTCTAGTGCTATGAGTGGGGTGCTAAAATCTCCCACTGTTATTATAGTGTTATCTGTTTCTTTAGGTCTAGTAATATTTGTTTCATGAATTTGGGTGCCTATATATTTAGGTTTGTTCTATCCTCCTGCTGATTCGATCCTTTATCTTTCTATAATTACCTTCTTTTTCTTTTATTAGTATTTTTGATAATAAAGCTTGTTTTAGCTGTTATAAATATAGTTCCTCCTGTTCACTTTTGGTTTCTGTTTGTGTGGAATATCTTTTTCCACACCTTTATTTTTTTCAGTCTGTGTGTGTCTTTATGGATAAGATGACTTTCTCATAGACAGCATACTGTTGGATCATTTAAGAAAAACCCATTCTGCTTTTTTTCAAGATGGTGGATAGGAGGTAGTGTTGGTGTTCCACTCCCACTTGAAAGGACACAGTAGCGGGTGGAGGTTCACACTGTTAATTTTTTTTTCCATGCAGCACCACAGGAACTTACCAGAAAAACTGAAAGAATTCACAGAGCCTTTGAAAGAAGCAGCAGGCTGTAGCCTACTCCATGAGACAGGTGAAAAATTGTGAGTACCCAGAGTGTGAGATGGGGAGAACCTAGGTTCAAACACACATCCCTACTGGGGAATCTGAAAACCTAGATCATGGGAGAAGGCCTTAACCCTACTGAGAGCTGGAATGAATTTAGGCAGAATGTGAAATATTAAAGCAGCAGCAGCAGTGGGAAGTGCCTTGTAGGCATTGACAGTCTGCAGCATCAGCTGAAGGAAACCATCCCTGGATTATTTCTCACAGGTGCCCTTGGGGAAGTTAGCCAATGAACTCAGGGCAGGATATCAGGGTGAAAGAAGCTCCGACTGAATTTTGTGATATAAATTTGAGTGGGGACAATTCTCTCGAACAGAATCCAGGGGTGAACAGGAAGTGTGCTGCAGATACAAGCACAGAAGCTGGGTGCCTGGCCATGTGGGCAGATGGGGAGGGGAATGGCCTCAAAGCTGTTATTGCTGTTTCTGTGGGGAAGCTTATGGCCTGGGTCAGGTCTGAGTTCTGTGTGCAGGCTGCCTGGATCTAAGCTTCTATGGAGAAGCTTATGGCCTGGGTCAGGTCCAAGTTCTGTGTGCAGGCTGCCTGATCTAAACCTGGTGCTGTTAGTGGGCACTGCCTACAGTGAGACTAGCCTCACCAACTGTGTGGGAGCTGGTTGGGAACTACCGCTGTCAGCTAATCTCCACTCCCTTTGTGAACTCTTCTGCACAGCAGAGACAGTTATACTTTTCTCTGGAACATTTCCCCGGTGGCCTGAGAACCACTCTCTGTTCCCCAGACTGGCTGAGGCAGGCCCTGCACAAAGAAAGTCTGAGCTTGAGCCTGCCTAATCCTGACCCCGCCTGATAGTATTTCTCTATCTTCCCTGGTAACTTAACACACATATATAAACATTTGGGAGCTTTATAGCCCTGCCCATTGGTTAAGAAGCCAGAATACCTCCCCTGGATAATTTAGGAAAGGCTTAATGCAGCTGGTGCTCTTTTGCAAGTGGCACCTCCTGGTTGGAGGCCAACCAACTCAGTCCATTACAGCACCTCTCAATAGAATAACACTGAACTTAGGGAAGAGAAAATGACCATGAGAGCCCAGCTAACACCACTGCCTGCAACGTGCTGGTTAAACAGTGGTCCTGAGTCTGCCCATATCCCAAATTCACTGCTAGCATAACTGACAATTGAGAAAGCCAGCACACTAAACCTATTTACAACCAAGGAATCTCATAGAGTCTGTGTCATACTCCTGCTATCACCATTAGAGCAGACGCTGGTATCCATTGCTGGGAGACCTGAAGACAGGTCACATCACTGGATCCTTTGCAGATATTCCTCAGCACGAGTCCAAAGCCTGGTAGTCCCACTGGTGGGCTAGACCCAGAAGAGCAATAACAACCACTGCGGTCCAGCTCTCAGGAAGCCCAGTCCTGGTGGAAGGGGGAGAGCACCACATAGAGGAGTCACCCTATGGAACAAAATAATCTGCATGGCAGGCCTTTAGTTCCTGATTTTTCTTCTGGTGGAAAGTTTGTTATAGCTGAGATACAATTGCAGTGCTGGGCACAGTAGGAAAAATATATATGCCTACGCCAACAGGCAGGCAGCCTCCATGATCATAAAGGGCCTTGGAGACGGGTTTTTGTTCCCCCAGCACATACTGCATACCCAGCTGTGTCTTCTCCCATGGGAATGAAATGTGAATGCACCTGTAGATAGCCTTCCTGGAACAATTCAGGGTGAGGGTGATTGTAGGCCCACAGGAGGAGCACTGCCCAGATTCAGGGCTGCAAGAGAGGCAGAGTCAGAATTCCTTCCTAGTTGGAGTAACATTTCTATGATGAAAAGAGGTGCTTGTATGATCTGAATGGCTTGAACACTGGGACAAGAGTGAGACTGTGAGTTAGATAGCCTACCTGCTGGCCTGGCAGGGGAACTGAGGTAGTGCCCACTCTTCATTCTGATAAAACCTCTGCACATCTAATTGAGAGCTTTGCCAGCCACATTCATCAAGGGCGGGACCTCTGCTCTCCGGTGGGTATTATATCTACAAACCTGCTTTAACTACAACCAGTGCCTACCTAAGGATACCTCCCTTATTGTCCTGAAGCCTGAATCATCAACTCTAAATAAAATACTGGGAAAATTTAAACAAATAAATAAAGTGTATACCATGAGAGAATGAGATAAGCCTCAAGAGATCCCTACCATTCCAATCCCATAGGAGATAGTGAACTAGCCCACACTCCAAGTATGTAACCACTATAACCAGCATCTGGGAAAGCCAGAGCACAAAGACTCTCTATGATAAAGGAACTCATACAGTGTTTTCCCCCTAAAAGCACCGAGAATCAAATTATGCTAGAACAAACCATAAACATTCAAGTCACTAAAGTCTGAACCTGCAAACGGGGGGAAAAAGAAATAGAAAAACACCCCACAGTCAAAACAAAAATAAATTCAAGAATAATGTGAAGAAATGGTCTACCCAAATGAGAAGAAACCAGAAAAGTAATTCTTTGAATATGAAAAAACAGCATTCCATAACACCCCCAAAATATCACTCTAGTTCCCCAGAAATGGATTCAAACCAAGAAGACATTTCTGAAATGCCAGATAAATAATTCAGAAGGTTGATTATTAAGCTACTCAAGGAAATACCAGAGAAAGGTGAAAGCCAACTTAAAGAATTTTTAAAAATCCAGAATATGAATGGAAAAATTTTCAGAAAAATAGATATCATGAAGAAATAATCAGAACATTTGGAAATGAACGATACACTTAGGGAAATACAAAATGCAGTGGGAAGTTTCAACAATAGATGAGAACAGGTAGAAGAAAGAATTTCAGAACTCAAAGACAAGACTTTTGAATTAACCCAATCAGACAAAGACAAAGAAAACAAAAAAAGGATAAAGTCTTGAAGAAATATGGGATTATGTAAAATGGCCAAACCTAAGAATAATTGGTGTTCCTGAGGGAGAAGAGAAATCTAAAAGTTTGGAAAAGTTATTTGAGGGAATAATTAAGGAAAACTTCTCTGGTCTTGCTAGAGAGCTAGACATCCAAATACAAAAAACTCAAATAACTCCTGGGAAATTCATTACAAAGAGATTATCACCAAGGCACATAGTGATCAGGCTGTATAAAGTCAAGTTGAAGGAAAGAATCTTAGGAACAGTGAGACAAAAGTATTAGGTAACCTACAGAGGAAAACCTGTTAGACTAACAGCAGATTTCTCAGCAGAAATCTTATAGGCCAGAAAGTATTGGGTCCTATCTTTAGCTTCCTTAAACAAAATAATTGTCAGCCAATAATTTTGTATGCAGCAAAATTAAGCTTCATAATTGAAGGAGAGACAAAGTATTTTTCAGACAAACAAATGCTGAATTTGCCACTACCAAACCAGCACTACAAGAAATGCTAAGGAGTTCTAAATTATGAAACAACCTTGATATACACCAAAATAGAACCTCCTTAATAAATAAAGCATAAATGCCCTGTAAAACAATAACACATTGAAAAAAAGAAAACAAAGTATCTAGGCAACTCTACTAACATGATGAATAGAACAGCACCTCCCATCTCCATATTAACATTGAATGTAAATGGCCCAAATGCTCCACTTGAGAGATAAAGAATGGCAGAATGGATAAAAATCCACCAACCAAATATTTACTTTCTTCAGGAGACTCACCTAACACATAAGGACTCACATAAATTTAAGGTGAAGGGGTAGAAAATAATATTTCATGCAAATGGAAATGAAAATCAAGCAGGAGTTGCTATTTTTATATCAGACTTTAAAGCAACAATGGTAAAAAAGACAAAGACATTATATAATAGTGAAAGGATTGGTCCAACAGGAAGATATTACAGTCCTAAGTTTATATGCATCTCATACCAGAGCTCCCAAATTTATGAAACAATTACCATTAGACCTAAGAAATGAGATAGGCAACAACACAATAATAGTGGGGGACTTCAGTACTCCACTGACAGCACTAAACAGGTTATCAAAACAGAAAGTCAACAGAGAAACAATGCACTAAAACTATACCCTAGAACAAATGATTTAACAGATATTTGTAAAAAATTCTTCCCAGAATGTACATTCTCATCAGTGCATGGAACATTCTCTGAGTTAGACCATATACTAGGCCACAAAATGAGTTTCAATAAATTTAAGAAAATCAACATTCTATCAAGTATCGTCTCAGGTTGCAGTGGAATAAATCTGAAATCAACTCCAAAAGGAGCTCCCAAACCTATACAAATATATGGAAATTGAATAATCTGCTCTTGAGTGTTTTTGGGTTTAGCAGTGAATTCAACGTGAAAATTAAAACATGATTTGAATAATAATAGTGACACAACTTATCAGAACCTCGGGGATACAGCAAAGGCAGTGCTAAGAGGAAGGTTCATAGCATTAAATGCCTACATCAAGCAGTCTGAAAGTCACAAATAGACAATCTAAAATCACACCTCAAGGAACTAGAGAAACAAGAGAAAACTGAACCAAAACACAGCAGAAGAAAAGAAATAACAAGGATCAGAGCATAACTAAATAAAATTGAAACAAACAAAATACAAGAGATTAAATGAAACAAAAAGCTGGTTCTTCAAGACAATAAACAAAACAGATAGACCGTTAGTGAGATTAACCAAGAAAAGAAGAGAAAAGATACAAAAAACCTCAATTGGAAATGAAATGGGAGATATTACAACTGGTACCACAGAAATATAAAAGATCACTCAAGGCTACTATGAACACATGTACACATTCAAACTAGAAAATCTAGAGGAAATGGGTAAATTCCTGAAAATATGCAACCCTCCTAGATTAAATCAGGAAAAAATAGAAACCCTGAACAGACCAATCAATAACAAGCAGAGAGATTAAATTATTAATTTAAATAATTTCCAACAAAAAAATCCAGAACCAGATGCATTAACAGCTGAATTATGTTAGACATTCAAAGAAGCATTGGTACCAATTCTACTGAAACTACTCCAAGAG